ATATTAAAAATAAAAATTAAAATAAAATAAAAAATAAAAATTAAATTAAAAATTAAAATTAAAATTAAAAAATAAAATTAAAATTAAAATAAAAAATAAAAAATAAAATAAAAAATAAAAATAAAAAATAAAAAATTAAAAATTAAAATAAAAATAAAAATAAAATTATTAAAAATAAAAAAATAAAAAAATAAAAAATAAAATTAATGCCTTCTTGCCAAAAAACTTCTTCTTCGTAAAGAATATGACATCCTTTTGTATCTTCAAGAATAGGATCTATAATCTCTTGAATGACGGCGAAAATGTGATCTATGATCCCATAAACGATGATAGCGAGAATGGGATTTATGATCTCGAGAATGATCACAAAAATGGGATTTACGATCCCAGCGAGAACAAGATCTATATTAGTATTGGTACCAGCGGCGATTTATATTCTGTTTCTATACTGACGATGATTTACATCTAAAAATAATAAAAATAATAATTAAATTAAAAAATTGAAGTTTTAAAAAGTAAAAAATATATTTATTACTATTATTCAATAAATAATTACTGGTTCGAAGCCAAAATTCTTTAACTAACTCTGCATGAAATATCTGATCATGCAAAGTTAGGTTTGTTATTGGTTGGTTGTGAAGATTCTTCCCAGTTTCCAACCTCTTGAGATTTTCATACTTATATTTTAATGAGTACCATTTTTTTCGACATTGAGAAGGAGAAGTGACGAACCCTCTATTAATAAACAATTGGTTGGTTATAGTTCTCCATATCATTTCATGGTGATTATTAGGAATGAACTCAAAATCGTCATGATTATCATGTCGAAGTTGAATTAATTCTTTTGTAACGTCAACTATCCATTCGAATAGAGCTACAGCAGGAGCAGCCAAAGCCATAATAATAGAAATAAAAAAAGGAGGAAGATGAAATAGGCAGGATCAAGAAATAAAAAAAAATAAAATAAAATAAACGGAGATTGAGAAATAAAAAGAGAGGAGAAGAAAACGAAATAAAAGAGATCAAGAAATAGAGAAGAAAAAGGAAAAAACGAGATGAGAAATAAAAAGAAAAGAAAAAACGAAATAAACAGGATCGAGAAATAAAAGAAAGGAGGAGAAAATGAAATAAACAGAATCGAGAAATAGAGAAGAAAAAATAAAAAATAAAATAAACGAGATTGAGAATAGAGAAGGAAAAAGAAAAAAATGAAATAAACGATATCGAGAAATAAAAAAAGAAAAGAAAAAAACAAAATAAATGGAATCAAGAAATAAAAAAATAAAAAACAAAATAAACGGGATCGAGAAATAAAAAAATGAAAAAAAAATGAAATAAACGGAATCGAGAAATAAAAAAAGAAAAGAAAAAAATGAAATTAACGGGATTGAGAAATAAAAAAAAATAAAAAAATGAAATAAACGGGATATAGAAATAAAAAAAAAGAAAAGAACGAAATAAATGAGATTGAAAAATAAAAAAATAAAAAGAACAAAATAAACGAGATCAAAAAATAAAAAAAATAAAAAAAAAGAATTAGAAATGGTGATTGAAAAAATAGGTGAAATAAAAAAATAAAATATTAAAAAAGAAAAAAAAAAGAAAAAAAAACGAATTATAAATGGCGATCGAAAAAATAGGTGGAATAAAAAAATCGAAAGATAAAAGAGAGAGATAGAGAGAGAAAAAAAGAGAGAAAGAAAAAATGAATTAAAAAAGAAAAATGAATTATAAAAATTGAAATAACAGATAAATCGATGAGAAAAATAATTGAAAAATAAAAGATGAAGGAGACAAGAGAAGTTTTATATTTGTGATTTTATTATGATATATTGTGAAAAATGATAGATTCGTGAGCGTAAATTACATATATTTATATCTTTTATTTTTATTAGAGAACTTTTAATAATACAATAAAAT